AAAAAAAAAAAAAAAAAAAATTATCTTAATTTTTTTAAAAATAAGAAAATATATTTAAATTAAAATTTACTATATACCTAATCAATTGCCATGGAGCCACAGGATGACATGGCTGATGAAAATCATTCATAGTTATTCACAAATAATGTATTGGTATGAGTCTTAAAATAAATACACATTGACCAAGTGTCCGTACTACAGTTACAAACAAGTCGATCATGGACCATGTCGAGCATAAATTATTTTTTTTTTCAGTACTCGAGCTCCACGAACCATGTAAAATACTAAAATAGTGCTCGACTCGACTCGTGAAACAAATGAGAGTGCTCGAGATCAACTAAATGCTCGACATAGATTGAGTTCGGTTTGAATTTCAACAACTGAAATAAGCTAAATTATTAATCTCAATAGATGATTTTGATCTCAACGTTCTAATATTGATAATATACGTATATGGGGCATTTATGTATATAGAAAATCCATCAGCTTGTGATGTCTCGTTTGTTCAACTCAACTCGAGCTGGAGTTTGACCGAAGTCGAGCTAAGCATTGATTCAAGCGCTCGAGAGCAGCCCGCAAACAATCATCCATAACTTGATGTACTGATTATAGCTGCAAACGAATCAAGTGAAAACCGGTCGACTCATTTACCCTTCTCGACTCGTTTACATTCTTACTCAGTAAAAGTTAGAGATTGTTATCTAATAGCTAAAACTACACGAGGTGGGTAACGAGGGGTAGGTGACTTGAGCCCCTCTTGTGGACCCCACACCAGTCCTCACCCACCCACCACCTCTCCGCAAAACACAACTACCTCTCTGCAAACCCAATTTCCCACTTCAAAATCTCTCTCTCTCTCTCTCTCGCTCTCTCTCTCTCTCACAAACACGCACGCACGCACGCACACACACCAACCCTCCCCATTCCACCAACCCGATTTTGGCCGTCATGGCGTCCTACCTCGCCGCCAAGCATTTCGTCGGATGTCCGCCTTCTTCCGACGGACTCGCCCGCCGCCTCGGTTCCCTCCAGTCGCCGCAGGCGCTGCCGTCGCCGAGCATCCAGCTGCCTTCCCGCAGATCGCGATGCAAACGCTTCGGTGCGTATCTCCTGGTCCTTTCTCTCCTTTATTCTGTTATGATGATTTGAGTTTGTGGTGAGGAATGTGAGAGTTGTAATGGCTATTAGCCTTAGCTCTCTCTGGTCTCTGCTATGCTTGCTGAGGAAATGCAGGGTGGATTGTAATTATGCGTGTTTGGTATTTTGATTCGATGTTTTCACCTATTTGAGCTGACGGGATGAAGTCTGAGTTTCAGAAATTAGTGAAACTCGAAAAGCTACGCCTGGATTGGGTTTCATTCCTGAGTTTTAGCAGCTCTCTTGGAATTTGGTTGTTTATCATTTGTGAAAATTCAGCTTCTGTGAATTGAGATTTTGTTGATTGCTTGTGGGAAAGGGTTGTATTATTATTTTTTAATTTAATTTGTGTAGCTAATAGTGCCTGAGCTTTGATTACATCATTTCTAGCTAAATTAGCTTAGGTTGAATGATTTTGGGAGGAGACGTAATGCTGATATATTATCAACCTCTTGGAAATGTAATGGAATATATCAATATAGGGGTGGCATATTTTTTCTAGCTGCAGTTCCCCTCCTTTGCATACAGAACCTTGGTTAACATTTTGATAGACTAATGTTATATTTGACTAGAAATCTAAGAGAAATAACTATATAGATGGGCACGGAGATCAATATTCTATGAGATGTGGTTGGCATGTTGTTTTAGCTATTGGTTTCTGATTTTGTCCTTTGGTTAGCTATTATTTCAAATCTCCGAACTGAACATCCTTGTTCTATCATTTACTGCTTCCAGGATTGTGTGTGTATTTATGTCTTCTTTCCCTTTTTGTGTTAATGTTGTTCGTCTTTCACTATTATTCACAAATGATGTAAAGTGACATGTTTGTGAAATCCAACAATTCTTAGTTCTTGGTGGATGGGAAATGCAGCTTAGCCAGACAGTCTAGTTTTGATTTCTATCTTAGCTTCTATAATTTTATTAATTATCATCTCTGAAACATGATATCGTGTAGGTAAATTTCGCCTAAGGGAGTTGAGGAACCTTGGTCCATTCTATAAAAACTTTATACTCTTCGTCAGTTGTTTCTATAGATGTCTGGGTTCTGGAATTGTAGAAAGGTTAATATAATGTTGAATACTAGTTACGGGTCACTGAAAATACTTATATGCTTGTTGTCAACAGAAATACAAGCCTCTGGTAGCACCTATGGAAATTACTTCAGAGTTACAACATTTGGAGAATCTCATGGGGGTGGTGTAGGGTGTGTGATTGATGGTTGCCCTCCGAGACTTCCCCTCTCTGAAGAGGACATGCAAGTTGATTTGGATAGAAGGTGTATATTAAGTTGTACAAACCTCTCTTATGTTGTTAGAGACCTCCTTATATCTTTTTTAAGTAATGATAGAAAAATATATTTGTCTTGTATATATGGTCCTGATGGTTAACACTGAACACATAACTAATTTCACGTACTCCATTAAAGGAACTGTAAGGATATATGAGAAGCAGCTTTCTATTAACAATATGCTTTCTTTGGAAGATTTTAGGTACTTTAACATTTCGTTTTACACTGATTATGAATATGCTGTTTTCCCATTAGGAGGCCAGGTCAGAGTCGGATAACCACTCCTAGAAAAGAGACGGACACCTGTAAAATAGCTTCGGGAATTGCTGATGGTTAATCATTTCTTGGTTCCTTTGATTCTTTTGCACCTTTCACTTCAAATTGTTGTCCTTGTATGTTTATTGAAGAGAACTGATGTATAACCTATACACTATAGGGTTCACCACCGGATCTCCAATCAAGGTAGAAGTGCCCAATACGGATCAAAGAGGACATGTAAGCATCCGTGTCTCTACGGTTCCTCTAAAAGCTGTAATTGAAGACTTGTTATGCTTTCTAGGTGTAACCCTTTGGAAAATATGATGTTCGTTTCAACTTTTTGAATTTTTATAGTTATTGATGATAGATGGGAAGGGCATGGTAAATGTAACATGATAACATTAATTTCGAACTGAGGCGGTGGTCACGAGCAGATTAAATTAGTTCTTGCTCCAAGTTTCTTCAAAGTTATGTAACAGACAACAGGTGTATGCATGTCGTAATGGAGTGAATATAATTCATTCTTTTTTGTGGAAATTTTTCCAGGACTATAGTGAAATGTCTCAAGCTTATAGGCCATCCCATGCAGATGCAACTTATGATTTCAAGTATGGCGTTAGATCAGTGCAGGTACCATCTTGTACTTGAAATAGCTACTACATCATATATATCTTTGGAAATTTCTCTCTCAATATATTTAATCTCTTACTATCGTCCTGGAATGCAGCAATTTCTTTTATAGAAATGAAACTTTTGATTTGTGTGTTTTGGAACCAGGGTGGTGGTAGATCTTCTGCAAGAGAAACAATTGGGAGGGTTGCTGCTGGAGCTGTGGCTAAGAAGATACTAAAGCAATATGCAGGGACTGAAGTAAGTTCTTCTTTTTCTTTGAAAGATTAGTTGTGAGCTTATGAATGTTATTCAGAACATACCAAACAGAGACATTCGTACTCCGTTATTCACAACCGTAAAACAGAGGCATTCGTAGTCCGTTCATGGTTGCATATTCATATGCACCCATACGTCTTAAGTATACATTCTGATTATCTCATGATTAAGCTTCAATTGAAGTGACTCGAGCGCTAGCAATTCCATACCATTTTGAATGAGATGCTTTAGCTGGACCGGGTATTGTCGTTCTCTAGCTTCATTATATTAAATGATAAATCAAGAGGACTTCCCCTTGATCATGGGAATTTTAGTTGGAGAAGCAGGAAACATGTTGATGCTCTCGATCATTCAATTTTCTTTTGGTTAAGGGGTGGGAGGGAGCACATTATAATAATGATGGAAGTCAATCAGATCATGAGGAGTTGCTTGAAATGCATATCCTGTGATTATGGATTTTCTCTTATTTTCTAATTATATATTCATTCTTTCTGTGACAGATTCTTGCTTATGTCTCTCAAGTGCACAACGTTGTCCTTCCAGAAAATTTGGTTGATAATGAAAATGTGACTCTTGATCAGGTATGTCTAATATTTAATTATTATTTGTTATGTATGATATAAATACCAATAACTTATGACTGGGGAGGGTGTTGTCCAGCTGTAGCAGTCACCCGTTGTGTTCATGGGTTTTTTGATTACTTTGCATGATTCTCCTTAGATGACTTCCTAAATAAGCTTAAAGATCTGGTAAAGCATTAAGATGTCAGTTGATTCAAGCTTTATTTTCCTATGTATTGATATATAATTATGTAACCATGATTTGTTCAAACGACATGGAAAATATTAGAACAGTGGAAGCCTAAAGTGTTTTTTACGCAGCATACAATTCACATTTTTAAATAAAGGGCAATTCAGAAAAGATGAGTTAGAAAGGAAGGATGCTCCAGTTATTCATGAATGCACATTAACCAACAGAAGTCCACATATATTTCCTATTTTCCTGAGTTGTCTGTTTTCCCATCCCAAATGGTCTTTACTTTTCTACACATATTTTTCCAAGTTTCTTTTCCTTTTGGAAAAGAAAACTTAGCATGGACATTAATTAGGCGTTAATAAGACAACAAAGTTTATTATAATCCAAACTTCTCCAGATAGAGAGCAATATCGTAAGGTGCCCAAACCCTGAGTATGCGGAGAAAATGATTTCTGCTATTGATGCTGTCCGAGTGAGAGGTGACTCTGTTGGGGGTGTTGTCACCTGCATTGTTCGGAATGTACCACGGGTATGCTAGCCCTGTTCTTGCGTCCTTCGTCACATGAATTCATCCTATCCACTTTTGTGCATCTCTTACTTATGTGATGCTACACTTGTTACATTTTGTCCGTGTTATAAAACTCTGAGAAAAATGCTGAATCAGCTTGCTCCTTGTTAGGGACTTGGTTCTCCAGTCTTTGATAAACTTGAAGCTGAGTTGGCAAAAGCTGTTATGTCATTACCTGCAACAAAAGGTTTTGAGTTTGGCAGTGGATTTGCAGGTGCAATATCATATGGGTTTCTGATTTACAATGTTACACTATTTTTCTGACCAACTCTAAGGTCCTCGTGATCAATATTAAACAGGTACATTTATGACTGGTAGTGAGCATAATGATGAATTCTACATGGATGAACAAGGTCGAATTAGGACAAAAACCAACCGTTCTGGTGGGATACAGGTATATTCAATTCTGATAGCTCTTGTGAACTTAAGTATGAGCTGCTCTGTTTATGATAAGTGTACTTTCATGATACCATATTGATTTCAGGGTGGAATATCAAATGGAGAAACAATTAACATGAGAATAGCTTTCAAACCAACATCTACAATCTCCGTATGTTGCCTTCTCTTTCTTTTGACTCTCATCTTCAGTCTCGTTGTGCATGGGTTTTGATCGTTCATCTTCTCAACTCTGTTGAAAGTAAAAGAAATGTTGGATACATAGCAGTCAGCCATCCTTTGAGCAAAACTTGCCTACTACAAAACTTAGTAATTGATCCTTGTGAGTTGTGGTTGGTAGATGAATATGCATAGAAGATCCATGGCTTGGGTAGGCCCCGGAACAAAAATGTAACACTTATATCAGCTCATACGTTTAATGGAATGTGGAAAGAATGATTAATTGAGAACTAAGTTGCATTCTCATTTGGCAGCCCAATTTTTACATACAAGTGTTTTCCTCTAGCTTGTAGCCTATATCATCGGCTTATTGCAAACATTAGGCTGAACCCATAAAGAATTAGAGCTATATCGGCTGAGTTATCTCAGATATACATTTATCAATTATTTTATACTTTCCTGCAGAAGAAGCAGCATACTGTGACGAGAGACAGGCACGACACGGAGCTCATAGCTCGAGGTCGTCACGATCCTTGTGTTGTTCCACGAGGTACATTTGCTGAGATGATATAACAATTTCCTTTCACGTATTGAATTGCATTTATCTAAAGATCCTCCAATCCTTTCAGCTATACACGCATTTATTCTTGTTTATAATGCTAATGGAAATATGGAACTAGTTTTGCTTCCGGTTGTAGCTTATAGGTTTTTTTATTAGCTTGTAAGTTTCCTGTGTTCAAATAACCTTGGTTTGGTAGGACGAACATTTTCAAAAAGCTCGAGTTTATCTCATAAGTTTCCTTGGACAGATTTTCAAATAAGTCCATTGAAATTTTTATTTCAGTTAATTTTACCAAACACTTTTATTACATAAGTCAGCTTTGCAGCTATAAGTCATAAGCTAACAGCTAGAAGCTCAAAATTCATTTAAAGCTATAAGCTAACTTATCAACTATAAGCGAGCTTTGCAGTCATAAGTCATAAGCTATCAGCTATAAGTTCAAAATTCACTCAAAAACTATAAGCGAGCTTTGCAGCCATAAGTCATAAGCTATTAGCTATAAGCTCAAAGTTCACTCAAAAGCTTTAAGCTAGTTTATCAGTTAGGTTTACCAAACAAAGTCTCCTTGCAATTTATGAACCTTTAACAAATATCAAGTATCTGTAATTTTGAGGGATATTATTTATCTTTTTGTCTTTTTCAGCTGTCCCGATGGTAGAAGCAATGGTTGCCCTAGTGCTGGTCGATCAATTAATGGCACAATATGCTCAATGCATGCTTTTCCCGATTAATCCAGCACTACAAGAGCCCCTTCAGCTGCCTAAAAATGAGCAGGCACAGGTTCACCATTAACGGTGCGTCTTTTGTGGCTCTCGCCATTGCTTTATCTCCCTTATACCTGCGTTTTAATATAATATAATATAATATAATTTGTACTGTAATGTAATAATTGATGTGTTTACTGGATTATTTACTATTTTTCAATAGAGTTGATAATAAAGGCCAAAANTTCCTTTTGTGTTGTTTATTTTTCCCCTTAAGAGAGGAAGGTTGAAAACTGGGTCGGTCTGTATTCAGAAAAACGGGTTTTGAGATTGTATGCATTTTCTCAGTTGAACCTTTCCGAAGAACCTCAGCAATTTTTTTATTTAGCTGTTTTGATTTCTTTTTTATTCTTTTTTTCTCCTTCTTATGAGATATTACTGTGATGTGCGGTGTTAATTGTTGAAATATAGTTTAGTTGATCGTTATTTTTCTTTTCAATATAGATTTTGTTAGTATATTCTACATGAATGTTCATTTTATTAAACGGAGTATTATAAAGTTAAAGCAAATAGTATTGCTCATAGGATAAATTAACTGATAGTTTATAAGTTAATTAGTGACTAATAGATGATAGTTTATATAGCTAATTACTGAAAAGTTAGCGGATGTAATAGAGCAAACTATAGGCTATTTTTGTAACAATGATATTGATATATAAATATTAGTGTGTGTGATAACATAACTATTGATTTTGTAAATGAACTATGGTGTCAATAATAAATTATTGAAAACAAATTAATGCAATATGTTATTTAAAAAATGAGTGATAAATAAAATAATTGGAATCTTTGTTTGAAATATATGATATGAATATTCAATTTAAAAGCTAATAAAAATTATAGCGTATTTCATTCACGAAAATGAGAAAGATACGAATTGTATGGAAATATTTATTTAATATAATAAAATATATTTATACCTTAATATATAATGCAAATACCTTTAAAAGTGAAAATAATAAAAACTTTAAATTTTAGTATGTAAAAAGGATGGGAAATAATCTTCTAAAACTAAAATATTTTATTCTTATTATATGAAGGGATGAGTTTCATTAATACTATCAATTACATAAATAATGATTATGCTTTGGAAAATTGTACATTGGTTCAAAAATTGCCAATGTGGCTTAAGACCATCTCAAAAAAATGAGTTATAGTAGAGTGCTCTACTCTAAATTATAAATCAAATTTTTTCTTCAACCATCGCACTATATTTTACTCTACGTAAATATGTTACTATATATTTCTTGTTTTATTTGAATTTTAATGCAACAAATATAATATACAGGACATGTCAATTTATACTCATAATTATTTGAATATATACAATCAATAAAAATATATTAAACACAAAAAAATTAAAAATTACCAACACTTTTTATTTACTAAAACATTACAGCTTAGTAAATTGACTAATTATTATTTATTATAAATGATTCAATTAAAAAGGTTGCTAAAACATTTAAGTAAATGAATACTAGAGTCTATATAAGAGCCGCTTTTTGTTGGATTGTACAGTCATGCACAAAACATTAGTGCGGCACTATTGTTGCACTAATTTTAATTTATACATTCTACACTTTTTATTCGTAATATTGAAAACTACGGTTTTTGAAGGTAACACTTAAGAAAGTATACTATTTCTTCTCATTATTATTATTATAATCATTTTTTCATTCTCACCAATACAAGGTTAAAATAAAATTTAATTACTATTGCAAATCTACCAACAAAAATAAACTATTCACAGTCACACAATTCTGACTATTAGCACTAATATTATTTAATTTATTCTTATTATATTAACTTCGACCAATTTATATATATATACTATATTTACATATCATTTTAAACTATTTTACTCTATTCCAAGATATCTATTTTTTTTTCCTTTTTCCATTTTTTTTTTTCTGTTTCTGTAATAGCATAAGATAGAAATTTCCAAAAATTCTACTTGCAATATATGACACCCATAGCCAGAGAAAAATGATTGTTTGTATTATTTGCCGGTTCTTTTGTCCGAAAACCAGCGAGGTCACGTGACATGAAAGCAGCTGAAAATACGATGAGCATCGCCACGTCACCATCACCTGTGGGCCCCACTATGCCATTTCGCCAGCTGTCAATTGGTCAGCAATCACCTGATTGAGGTGATTCCCAATTCAATAATTTCATTAATCATTAATGTGTAATCTCTGCGGTTTAAGGTGTTAAACCCACAAATTTACAACTTTTCGGATTTTGTTGCATTATAATAGCTTTCAGAATGGTAATTGTATTCTACAAATGCAAAATTAGTCTTACTCAGTGTAAATTAAGTTTTTAACTTTTTTTTCGTTGTGAAAATAGTCCCAAAACTGTCAAAATTAGTGGGGTATCACACACGAGTCGCGTGACCACTGATTGTTAAGTTGAAAATGATGAAATTGTAAAGTTAGTTCCATAAGATTGACCGTATTGCAACTATGGTTTCAAATGTTGCAAAATGG